AACATGAAAGATACGGCGCCAATAATTGAATTGCTGTTACGGTACGCTGTTTCTAAATTTAGATGGTCATTCCTTAATTAAATAGCCCACCAGCGGCCGAGCGGTAAAGACGCTGAGCACTGGTAGCTCGGTTCGAATCTCGCGAACAGGCTGGCTGCATGGGCGTTTTCGTGGTTTTCCCCATGTGTAACGTGTATACGAGCCAGTTTCCATTAGAAAGTCCTCCACCAAGGCATCCCTCCCTTTAGGCAGATAGCCCTCGTGTGCTTTGCCATAATTAAATAATCCAATCCAATCCTTAATTAAATATAATTGATTTGTAACTTCTACTAGAGCTGACGGTAAAATTGAAGTGCAAATAAATAATATCGTGTGCAATCTTGATTAATATAAAATTAAAAATTTTGCATAGAAAAATATTTGCATTCAGACAGAAAGTTTTTTGAAATATTTGAAATTACTTTATAAGAATGATTTATTAATAACTGTAATAATTACTTATTATATTACTGATGATTAGTATTCACTTCTTGACAATTACATTCTAAATTCAAATTTTAAGGATATAATGAAAATACGCTACGCGCACAAAAATACATTTTAGGATAAAAAATGAGTTGATTTTTTTATGTTTTAAAACTTCTTAAATTCATTTAATAAACATCGTATCCTCGTTGTTAATTGAATCCAGAATGTTGTGGTGTCGTTTATATAATTATTCTTACTTGTCCACAGAAGCTGCTGACTTATCCAGCCATTAAGTAGCTGCAGATCATTTCTACATAACCATTGAACTTCCACTTAATTCAGTCTCTAGAGGGTTGTATGTTTATATCATAATTTGACTTTTATATAAAAATGATTATTCTAAATCTTATGTTTCTATAAAAATATACTGTGCTTTAAAAATATGGGATGATAGTATCTGCCGCTCTTTCAGCCACTTCAAAAGCAACAGTTTGTTTAGAAATAAATTATGCAGTTAATGTCATAAAATTCAAATAAACATTAAACGAAAATTCTCAGTTTTAGACAATTGGATTTAAACGAAGTAAAGTAGCAGACGATAAAACGCCGAAGGTAAAAATTTACTCTTAGAAAAATGTACTCTTATTTTTTTAAAAAAAGGAAGAAAGAGAGAAATTTTAAAAAATTGTTAAAAATTTGAATAATATCATCTATAATTTAAAAAATAGCTTTTCATATAGTATTAATAAATATTTATTACGCCTTATTGAGGGAAAAAAATTCATATAATTAATTCTCCGTAAAATTTTACTTGAAATTTAAGGTTAAAAATAGCTGTGGCAATTCAGTGTAACAAAAATCCATAGACCACATTTGGCGTTATTATCGCTCAAAAAAAAGATGCCAAATTTCAAAACGCGAAAATATGTAAATTCGTGTATATCTTAGAAAATTTTGAATAAAAAAGTCTAATTTTTTGCAGATATGCTTAAAAATACACCTACTTTATGATGATGGTAAAAATTTTATAGGTTATAATTCAAAATTTTTTTCGAAAAATTTATAAAAATTATTTAAAAATAGAAATTTAAAAAATAAAACACAAAAAATGGGTAAATTTTATTTGGAATGAACCTAAATTTCGAAATGTGAGAGAAAAAATCAAAAAAGTTTAATAAAAAAAGAGATATTAATAAATATTTGCCAAATTCAATTAACATTGAGGAGCTAAAATTTTGAGAGCTAATATTTTAAAAACTAGTCGTACGATTTTTACAAAACTTGGTATTCTGGCATAATTTGAGTCGTAGAATCGAAATATGGAAAAAATTGGTATGTTATTTCAGAAAAAGTCCGATTTTGTGTCAAAATACCTATGTTAGAATAGTGCTATATATAAATCTAATATATATCCTAAGTCGCGCTTTCGAGACATGAAAAACGCAGTTTGAATTTTGTCAATCGGCCCAGTAGAACGGGAGATATAGCACTGTCCCATTTTTTTTTTTTTTTTTGGAGCAGTGTACATTTATTTATTTATTACTATATTTATCTGTATACTGGTAAAAATATGACATACATATACATAATTTTATGATCTATTCACAGCCATTGTATCAATTTTGAAAGATACTTATAATTTCATATGGCTGCCTTACCTACTTAAAAAATAAATAAATAAATAATTTTAAAAAAAGTCCTCGGTCAGATGTATCAAAGTTTTCACTGTTCAACAAAGTAATTTTAAATCCCTGATTTTATATCTTTATCCCTGATAATTTTATATCCATATCTAAAATCATTAAGACACTATATGTTTAAAAATTCATAAAAAAATCATGCCATTTTTAACTTAGTGTATAAAAAATAATGAAAACTGTTCTTTGATTTTCATGCCTTATAGCAAATGCCCAAACTTTTCTCATTGTGGAACACTTTTCAAAAGTTGAAATATTTTTAACACTAGAGTAAATTTGGATTTTTAGTTACAATAAATGATAAGACAGATATATTAGGCAAACAAAAGAAACATTTATTCCAATTTTTAAACAATACTTACTAAAAGAAACATTTTAAAATTCTTAGTGTTAAAAAAAAAAAAAGACTCATAAAACTAATTATGTGAAATAAACAACATACTTGCCAAACTATGACACTCAAAAATCAGGAGATTTTTTTAAGAAATCAGGAGATTTTTCGCAATGTTAAAAAGAGTTTTTAAATGATAAAAATATAGTTTTTAATAATGAATTAACTTTAAATAGTAACTAATTCTTAAATGCGAGCTACACAAAAATACTTTACATTTAAGAAACATTTTTATTACTTGCATCGTTTAAGAAAACAACAACAACAACAACAACAACAACAAAAAAAAAAAAAAACTTTAATTAGTTTTTATACAAATGTTATAAACAGTGGCAGATTTTGCTTTCCTCAAGAAAGAAACTTCATAATTTGTTTATAGCAATTGCCACGTAGGCCTGCTTTCACTAATAAAAGTTTTTCTAATGTGTCATCACTAATATTAGATCTAAACTTAGTCCTTGTTTTCACAACACTGAAAATCCTCTCACACTCTGCATTACCATGGGGAACTGTCAAGATGGCCAACATAATTCCAGACACTTCATTATATTTTAAAATTCCATTAGTACCTTTCAGTTTTTTAATTAAACTCCACTGGGTGTCAATCCTAGCTGATTTTATAACTTCATCCAAGTTTTCTAATTGTAAACTGCTGTTATGCAGCTGTTGAAACTGTTTCAATTTTTCCTTCCTTTTAGAACTCCTTCCAAGATAATAATAAATATCAACAATGTGTTCATCCACATTTATTGGTAAAGAAGCTGCCCCTTTTTTAGTAGCTAAATTTAAGAGGTGACAGGTTAACCTCATAATCTGCAAATCTGATTTTGCCTTTCTTAAGATGACTGCAACACCAGTCTTCAAGCCTACCAATACTGGTGCATTATCGGCACCAAGTGCTAAGCAATTATCCAGAGAGACTGCCTTTTCTTTTAAAGTTTTAATAATTAGCTGTGCTATATTAAAGACTGTCAAATGCCCTTGTAAAGTGGGAACAGAAAATAAACTGCACTCAATTTCTGAAAACTCTGGATTAAAAAAAATAAACAACAATTGGATACAGTTTTGAATAAGTATTATTGCTTCTATCCGTAGAGAGGCAGAACGGAGCTGTTTTAATGCAATCAATAACTGAAGATTTATTTTTCAAACCCATTTCTTTAACAATTGCACCTGTTTTGTTTCTTGCACTTGAGTATTTCTTAGCGATTTCACTATCGGGAAGCATTTTTCTAAATAAAGCTGCAGCGTGATCCGATGCATTCAGTGGCAGGTTGTGCTCCAGTAAAAAGGCAGAGAACAGACATTCTGCATTAATAACTTTTCAGTCCTTTGTTTCCGAAAAAAAATTTAATTTTCCTTTTTTTTCCTTTTTTTTTTTTTTTTTTTCAAACAATTCATGTCGTCCTTGTGTTTTTTGTCTGCGCACATGTTTGAGAACACCATGCGAAATCCCACCCCATTCCACCATGTGAAATCGAAAAATCGCAACGACAGGCGGTAACATCGCAAATTTATTACATTTCCTTGAGGAAATAATGGAAGGAAAGTCAACTGTGTACGATTTTTGAAACATACACGAGTATTTCACCTTTCTTTCAGACATAACAAAAGAGGATAATTTCTACACTATTTCCCGAAGGCACGTGTACTCGCACAATTCAGGACAAAATGAACAAAATAACTAAAGAACATCCAAATAACAGCTTGCTTTGTCCTCATTGGCTAATATATGCCAGATGACATGCAGTGGAGCTCAATGCCCATTGGAGAACTGGAGAATGATGTTTCTGGATACGCATATGCTCTCACTCACAAAGCAGAAGTTATCTGATTCGCAAGGTTTTGTTTTAGATATAATCTAGAGAAAATTCCATTGCTTTCAGACACCCAAAATCACTTTTTTTTTTTTTTTTTTTTTTTGTGTGTGTGTGTGTGTGTGTGTGTGTGTGTGGTGTGTGTTCATGTAACAAAGTATTAAGCCAAGTTCCATAAAAATAGTCAGAAATTTTAAGAATAAGAAAAAGTCGGGAGAAATATATTGTAAATCGGGTTGGCGGGAGAGCGGTCGAAAATCAGGAGTCTCCCGCCTAAAGTGGGAGAGTTGGCAACTCTGAAACAACATTAAAAAAATTAAAATATTTTGAGTTTTCAATGTACTTAATTCTTACAATTACAAAATGTTTTAGTAATACTTTGCATATACATTTTCAGCTATCTATTTTAACAGCACCTCAAAGAAGTTTGAGTTCAACAGTTTTTTGGAAACCATAAGAAATACTAGAATAAAAATGTTTTGAAATGTTTTGTTGTTCTCTAAATTCAGTTTCATAATTTTTCGTTGGACAGAGTGCAGTAAAAGCTGCCTTAGAATGTGTGATGTTTCTGATGTTACACATAAAGAAGGGGAGGACTTCATTTCCTTAATATATATATATATTTACCTCTGTGGGAGTTTTTGTATATTCTAAACATCTTTCTACTGCAACTATGTTGGTCTCGACATCAGCCGTTGCTCTCACAAGCATATTCAAAATACCTGTTATCTGCAGTTAAAAACAAAGTCAAATTAAGGAACAATATTTTTAAATTCCATTAAATGATTATTGGCCACCAATTAAAACTGAGGTACCTGAAGAGCATAACTGATGGAAAGACCAGCAATACCAGGACTCAAAGTTTCTCTTGTGAGCACAGCAAACACAGCAGAAAACAGTACGATTGTATATCCGAGAAATTCTAGGCATATGGACAGCCATCTAAAAGAATACCATATATATTTCAAGAAGAAAATATTGCTACACAGAAACATTTTCATAACAAAAAAAATTCTAATTTTAAAATAACAGATTATGAAAATATCAAATTTAAAACACCAACGAAAGCTGAAACCTCTGTTAACATCTATTAAAAGTGATAAACAGTACCTTAAATGATATATAAAATATAACAGCAAAATATACAGGTTAGGTTACTTGTCCATTATTTAGCCATAAATGATTTATGCGCTCATGTCAATGACACTGGAGAAAGATACAGAAAAATAGAAATCTACAGAAAACATAAATGATGAAAAATGGCTTAATATGTAAAATTGAACCACAGTAAGCAAAAATAATTACATGCATCAAGCCTGTGTGCTATACCATTGCAAAAGACAAGATTTGATAACTGAAATAAATAGTTGAGAACTTGTTTACTGAACTTAAAATAAGATAACTGTATTTGTCTACAGTAGTGTAAAAAACTGCAGTAAAATTGGAAATCTATTAGGAAACTATCATACATTAGAAAAGGATACAGTTGCTAGAGTAGAAACAACTGCAACTTTAGCATGAAAGATTTCTTTACTGTTAATCAGAATTTACATATAATAATACAGTACAAAGTCCAAAATATGGACTTGTCAGAGCTTTGTCAAATTCAGATCTAGGACTTTTTTATATATTAGATCATCAGTTTAAATCTAGCAAGATGACATGTAGAAATTATAAAATTATGGACTTGTCAGGGCTTTGTCAAATTTAGATCTAGGACTTTTTTATATATATTAGATCATCAGTTTAAATCTAGCAAGATGACATGTAGAAATTATAAAATTTTAAATACGAAACAGTGATTTATGAAATAATGAAGCGTTTATGACCTTAAGGGAATCAAGGAAAAAGAAATGTCATTTTTTATTTGTTTGTTTTATTAAACATCTATTTCACTGTAAGTTGTGTCTTTAATTCTACAGATAGACACAATTTTTTGTTCAGTTATAAAATCCCATTGTTCAGGTCCTATAATTGCTGCATTAAAAATTCCCACTAAATTGTCAATCAATTTTTTTTTCTTTTTCAACAAGCACTCTGCCACTTTCTTCACTATCGGTGGTGATATTTTCTGAATTTAAAACGATATTACAAATTTAGCCGCCATTAGTTGACTAGAGCATTTATAAATTAAAAAAAATTTAATTAAAAAAGAATTTTTGTCTCAATGATTTTCTAAAATGATGATGACACTATGCAAAGTGCATGCATTATTTTTTAAAATGATAAATGATATTCAATCAAAAAAGGGGGGTTGAAACGCAGCAAAAAGGCCTTTGAAGAACAACACTTTATTAGAAACAAGAGTTTTTGAATATAAGATACTTGAGAAAAGTTGCGAATGCATCAATTAATGAGTATCCTTTTGATCAAGTAAGATATTTAGTGCTTTGATATCATCATTTAACAGTTAGAGATACTACTGAATAGGTGCCATACTATTTGAATTATGCCAAGCAATTTTTCAAGATTATTTGGACTTGCATAGCATTGATTCTCAAATCAATCCAAAACCATTACCTTTAAAAAAAAAGTAGCACAACAAATGGCAAGTCCTTCTTAACATGAATTATTATTAGTAAAGAAACTTGCATCTACATTTCTGATATATAAAGAGCACTCAACAACTAAAGATCAAAAAGACCATGTCATGAGTTTTTCTTTGTTATAATTGAGTAGTATTACATGAATTTTAACAAATGGCTAAACTATTAATAAAGAATATTATTATACTTAGCAATGAAATAATCTGTAGAAATGACCGAAATTGAATAAGCTAACTTACAGATTTGGCAGCACAAAAATAAACTCGCTCATAATACCCTTGTTTGTAAAATTTTGGACAACAATTCAACAAATATACATCTACAAGCTTTATAATCTTCTGATATAGCACTGTAAGACTTTTTCTTATATCCAGAGTCAAAATAGCTGCTTTGTGGTCTCCATTTTGAGTCTACTGTTGCAATAAAAGAAAATTATTTGGGGATTTCACGAAAATGATTTTAAAACCCGTTTTGAGAAACAAACAAACAAAAAAATGTATACATACGCGCATTGATTGCAGAAGGTATTTCTTTACATGGTAAATAATAAATATTTACTAATAAATTAAAAACTTGTCTTTCATGAAACCATGCCTGATAATTTTTTATCACAGTAGTATGTCAAATGATATCTTCAAAAAGCAAAAATTCGCTGGATTGTGTAGAAAAATAAATAAAAAACATCACTTGGAATGGAAATATTTATCAGGATACATGGATATTAAATGCCTTGGTAGTCTACTGCGACTTCAAAAATTTAAAAATTAGAGGCACAGGCAATTCTAATATCAAAACAGAGAAAAATACAAACCTGCTAGCTCCTAAACTAGGATAATAGCATTCATTGTTTTTATCTACCAGTTCATTAGAATGGTACATGAACTGTCTTCCCACACCATATGCCCTAATACTGGAAGCTCCAGTTACAGTTTCAGAGAAATGGGAGTATATTGGAGAGCGAGTAGTAGACTCCAACCTCTTCAGCTGACGAGATGTGGGTATGTAAAATTTCTGCAAATTAAATTTTGTACAGAAAATTAAAAAATATTTAAAATAAAAATATTAGTTTTGCTCTTTCACTGTATATTACATTTTGGTTTAAACATAAAAAATTTCACGTTTATGCAACATGGAAGAGAAAGAGCAGAAATAAAATCATGCTATTTTGAATACAATACACAAATTATAATATAAGAATTTCATTATAAAACAAACAAAACTTTAAAAAATATGCACAATAATTTTAGTAATTTAAGCCAAAATTTATTTTTGAATGAAGCAATATATTTTTAAAAAATATCACAAGTTTTTGCCATGGAGGTAGACATACACGGACTGGACATCACATCCTAAATCTGAGGTTCAAAACAAGTTCAATTTCACCCAATTTACTGGCCTATGTTATTGCACCCTTATAATGGGATGCTATGCACATCAATGATACTCTCGACAATTTATATATATATAAAGTAAGAAATTAAGAACCAAATCCACAGAGACCCAAAAGAAATAAAATTCAAAACTAGTAAATTTCAAAATTCCCTACAAATGTGTAAAGATTCAACCACTTCTTGATAACATTGAATCAGATTTAATTGCATTTGAATTCCTTAGAGTGGTCATTTCTTTCTTGAAACTATTGTTTATAGTTTAGGTCAGATGTAAGATTTATCCTGATTATAATGAATATTACTTAAATGTTGTTTTATAGAATGCCATCTAGTGGCAACAGGAACACCTCCAGGTGCGATGAAGATAGGTTTTACAATAGTATGTCTTTGTGACTCGAAAGTTAATTCCAAATGTTGGGTGTTCGATTTTGGTTGTATGTTCTATTTTGATATGCCATGATATTTGATGCATCAATATTTTTTTCTATCTTTATGACTTTAAAAATCATGGTAGAGAGGGGTTATATCTTTTTTAACATTATAGGGTGAAATATTCTCTTTTTATCCTATAATTTTAAAACTCATAGGGTAAAAATAAATGCTGTTCTAGAATGAAAATGGAAAACATAAAATACAAAAAATTTAAGAATTATTTATCCTACATATATGATGGGATGCATTATCAGCATGAATAAATTACAATACATAGAAACAAAAGGAAGAATTCCAAATAAATTATTTGAATGAAAAATCAGTTTCTAAGCTCAAAAGTTTTAATTGACAATCAGAGTAAATTTTCTCTTCTTTCATTGTTCTAAATGCTTAATTATAGTACCTTAAGGTTTTTAAAGTACTATTTGTTATTTTGTGTACACTATTGAAACACAGCTTGCCCATATAATTAATTCACAGTATTTCCATTTTGAAAATTCTATAAACATCTCAGTTGCTACGCCTTACTTTTGCACATCACTATTAACAAACTCAGTATAATTCTGCTTTGCACAGATCTTGTCCTAGATTTATTTTGGTTCAGTTTAAGAAACAAAATTAACCCTAATTTGCTCTTTACAACAATCAGACTAAAAATTGCTTTGCTAGAGCTAACAGGCAGGAGGACATTCAATTTCCTCCTGGTGCCCTAAAAACCACTACAAGCAAAGCCATGACATATTTCCTGATGGCGCATGGCCCTTTCACAGCCTATTTGCTTCGCTTCGGATTGCATCACAGAGACTCATGCATATGCAGCTCAACAGGTACCATCGATCACTATATGCTCGAGTGTGAAATCACCAAAGACCTACATTTCCGGGCGTACACAGCTGAAAATGACCAGGTATGGCTGAAACAACTCCAAAAGAGTAAGCTACTATAAAACAAACTTAAAACTCTCATAGACTATTTGGCAATGAACTGAGAAAATCTAAAAGCAATCTAAAGAAAATTTCAGCACAGTCAAAGTTTTAACAGAGTCTCTTTAATAACCACGGGTCACAAATACTTATCTTCTGAAGCAACTTTATAAATTCATCTACAAATTATTTAATTTGTATTTAAATTTTAATACTCTATAGAGATTTCTGGCTAGGCATAGCGACAATAGAATGCTCCACCAATTGAGTACAAATGCTAATAGTAATATAACAGGCGGTACAGCAACTTAGCTGGGGGTAAGTAAGTAAGTAATCTCAACATTAAATGCAATACAACTTTTGAAATTTTTCTGCTGAAGTCAAAGATAAAAATACTAAAATTTAAAAATGTAACTAATGCATGCAATAAAATACTAAGTCACAGCACAGCAATGTGCAGTTTACAGGTCATGCTTACATTTTACAAAAGATCATATAAATACAGTACAAAAGCTTACTTCTAAGTTCAGATGATTAATCAGTATTCTTTTGTAAACTTATAAATCTTGTGAAACAGCCTCTAATGTGATTATGGCAAGGTGACATGAATTATCAGGTAACTGAATGAAACTTTATGCAGCAATCAGTTTCATTGTGCTATATAACCCATGTTTACAATGAGATACATCACTGGGCTATATGAAGTTGTGAAAGAAACTGCCATTTGAATTTTACAAGAAAGTTCTCTGTTGTCCATGCTATACAATGCATGATATACTGCCATGATGGCCTAGATGCAGCTATGATACAATTTCAGCATTGGGGGGGGGAGGAGAGAAGGAAGGCTGAAGCCCATGATGATGGAATAAGGTGCTGTAATTTAATAAGCCTGAAAATTTCCTGTACTGCTGCCTGAAGCTGCAACATTCTGCTGCAATGTCATACAGTAGCCACATTTACTTCTTGTCTTTGGAAATGGACCAGCAGTACAAAAACACATCACAGTCTGTTGCTTCGCTTCTGTATATTCCTCCAGCACGGCAGTCATTTTTGCATTGCCCTGACACATACTAAATACCCTATGAGATTGTTCACTGACTCAGTACAACATGATTGCATTGTTATCTGTGACATTTTTTAATTACTCATGGTTTCTCTTGTTTGCAATTCATTCCCACAACAGTTTGTAATTTATTTACCGATTTCCTCTCAAAATATAACAAATACAAGGCATGCTTTATTGTCAAATTTACATATAAATATTTCATAAATTAAAATTAGTAAATTTTTTAACTCTAAAATAATTACCTGCAGAAAATAATATAGAAGAGCCAAAGGTAAGCATGCAAGCAGGAAGAAAGGTGTTTCCAGAGATATGATGATGACTGCAGATAGTGCTCGGAAAGTCATGATCAATAACATCCTGATATTGAAGCGAATGGTTACATCGGCAGTATCAATATCTTTTGAGAATCTATTCAAAATACGGCCCAGAGGTGTAGTATCAAAGAATGACATGGGAGCACGCATTATATGCTGCAACATTCCATTGTGCAGAATTCTTGCAGCCCTCAGACAAGCTAAGTTCATTAACACAGCTGTCACCAAGGTGAAAACAACTAAAAAAAAAAAAATGTGTAACAATATTTTAATAAAACATATTAACAAAAGGATACACACAGTGTTTCTATAAAGATTTTGGAAAAACCCGTATCTGAAGAAAACAATTTATCTTATATTGGTCTTGGCATGCATTCCTTCTAATGCTGTACATCTCTTAGTATTCACAAAACTACTGAATAATTTTGCAAATGCTCATTTGAAGAAAAGAATTTATCCTAATTTAATCTTGACATACATTACTTCTAATGCTGTACATCTTTTAGCCTGTTCACAGTACTTCTGAATACCTTTGCAGATGCCTTGATTCTAGTGTTACTTTTTTTCCCCCGAATTTCTGAAATATTTTCAAAATCATATCTACTAATTTAAGATTTCATTTTAGAAAACAGAAAGTAGTCTGCAAGATGCCAAATCTGGCAAATAAGGAGATAATTATAAATATCACTTTTTCAATGAAAAGCATGACAGTTAATAAATTGAGCAATGTGACAACAACAGAAGTAACTCAATTCATCAGACATTTTGACACCTAAATTCATTTCAAATATTAAATTTGCTTCCTAATAGAACATAAAATCTAGTGTCTTCAATTACAAATTCCTTATGAAATTCCCAGCCAATCAAAAAGATGATTACCATGCGTTTTACCTGAAGTCTTTAAAAGAGAAATTTCTCTGGCCAAACAAGACCTATGCAAAGTTTAAACATTCTAGATTACTGTCTGATATTCCAACTAAATCTTTACTATTTTTCATTTTTCAGCTTTTGAATATATGAAAGCAGATATTAGTTGCATAAATTCACACGCACACACATGCGAAAAAAATTAATTTAATTAATTTTTGAAAGAAGACAGTATTTTACAGGGGGGGGAGAAACTGATATTTTAACATTCATCAGTATTATTTATCATTTGGCAGATGAATTGGAAATGGCAAAAAGTACTCAGTCCCAAAAGCTGCATAGACATATAAGCTACATACTTAATTTACACCCCACTATACATTAAAAAAGAAAAAAGATACCTAGACATCAGATTCATAAAAGTTAAAACTAAACAATGTCAAAACAAAAGATCATTCTATACTGAATATCATAAAAATCATCTTTTATTAATTAAATTAAAGAGCAAATATTTATCATCAGCTTAATTTATACATTAAATATATTGTAAATTAAAGCAATTTGATTCATCATTAAAAAGTAAAATGAAGATGTAATTATTATGCACATTTATTGCTCTGAAATTTCTTGGCTTAACACTCTTGCTAACTTGCTGTTTCCTAGGCCCTATAGATGATAAATGCACTTGTACATTGTAATGGTCTTTTAAGTATTGGTAAGATTTGCCAATAATATTTCAACATCAAAACAGGTTACATTCTAAAAGCTCATAAAACTGTACATACAACACATTTTATAAAACTAAACTAACTATATAGGTAAACACATTTTTATAAAACTTCTGATTGACCTTAACAATAAAGCTGGCACATGTCTAACTAAAAAAAAAAAAAAAAAAAAAAAAAAGTATTGCCTCAAATCAAAACTTGGAAATTCTTCACCATATAAGAAACTTTACAAAAGTGTGTTTCGTTGCAGAATATCAATGATCGAATGGTTAAGGCTACTGAACACTGATAATGGAAGATGATTCACTGAACATATTTCAGTGGACTTAGCCACTTGATCACTGATAGTTTGGCTGTGTTCCAACCTTGGCAAAAGAGCTGGCTGCATAAGTATTAGTGTAGTTTTCCTCATGTAACAAGGACATCAGCCAGTTCATGAAGGTATCCCACCTCTTACAGCCCTCATGTGCTTTGTTGCATTCAAGTAACCTAACCTAACACATTCAAGAATATGAACAAAGTCAGCTAAAAAATACTTTTGTAACTAAAAGGTCTTGAAGGCAACAATAACAAAATGCTTCAGACTTGCACAAAATATTCACTTTTTAATTGATGTAATTAGGCTAATTAGGAGAAAAAACCTGTAAAATGCAATGGATTTTACTTATGTAGGGAGCTTAAACACTGAAGTTCAAATAAATTAAATATTTTAAACATTTGTTTTTCTTTATCTGTTGTTGCATACAGTGATAAGACACAGAAAAATTGCTTGTGTGGGGGGAAGAATCTATTAAAAAAACTATCTTCAAGTAAAATGACATTATTTCATACTATATATAAAACTGCTTCAAATACTTAACTTTCATGTAAGAAACTTAAAATGACCTTTATTTATAAAAGTGAAACTAATTAGAATTTGCAATTAAAAAAGGTGGCAGTTTTTGGACCACATTTAGGAGAACAAAAGTATATATATATACATGACTTAAACATAAATCATGTTTAATGAACATGTATTAAACATGCTGCAATTAGTAGGAAACAACAATGACTATCATCAATACAAAATTTTAAATATAATACTTACTTTCCCCAGCACCCAATCCACCATAAACTTCCAATCTCAGGTCCCTCAAATGTGTATCAGTTGCTTTTGAAGGATCAAGTGCATCATTACTCCATGAGCTGAGCCATAAACTTGATCCTAAACTGAAAGCTGTTGAAAGTATGTAACTAACAACTGTCCAAAACGAATTCCAGATACCATATGATTTGATATAATCAATATATACAGAAGCTTTGACCTTAAAAATAAAAATAAAAAAAAAGAAAGGTATAAATTTAAAAAAAAAAAAAATGCTGACAATTACACAAGAACATTGCTAGCAGTTAACATATTACACTGATATTGAAAAAAATTAAATACATTGAAACATTAAAAAGTGCAGTACTGAAAACTATTTTTAAAATTTACAGAAACAATTACTTTAGTTGCATCTCTTATTTAAAGGTACAGTTGAAGGCTTAGTCAACAGATCCTTTTTATCACCATGTTTTTAGTATTTTAATGATTCATTATATACTTTTAATATACATAAACTTTTAAGTTCCATGTCCATCAAATTTGAAAAATTTAGTACAAAAATAATATGCAAAAATAGAAATACTCTGTATATATTACTGGCTGGACATGTTACTTGTTGCCTTTTGCTAATTTCAAGTTTGCATTATTTATCATCACATATTTAAAGAAACTGATCCTGTCTAAAAGGTATATATTGATTTAAAATTACAACTGAGTGAAAAGCTACTAGGATTCTCAACCCTTCCATTTCTGTGTGTTCACTTTTTTAGCACAGAAAATTTTTAACTACATACTAAGAACTCTGATATTACAGCTAAGTACATTTTACATAATAATTTTTACTATTTTATTTTTAGCATAAAAATGAACATACAAGATGCAATAATATGCTAATTATATCCATAAAAGGTCTTATGTGGCCTTTATTTTAACAACTTTTGGTCATAAACAAATCATTCCAGTTTCAATAAAGATAATATTAATGTAATAGTATTTTTGAAATTTAAAAAACTCAAACTTGAAAAATTACAAAATATAATTTTTTACGATGCACAGTCCATACATTTATATATAGAAAAACAAAATACAGAAAGTTTAAATCCCATGTAACAAAAACTGTTTAAAATACTTAATGTTTGAGATACTTAAAACTGAAAATTCAGGGGTCACTGACAAACTGAAGAATGAAATATTTAAATTCATGAATATCCGAAAATGAAATATTTTGAAAAATAGTTTCTGATGTTAGTAGATTAAATGATAAGCACTGTTACACTTACAGTAGGAAAAAGTTTTGATAAATATTTTTTTTAAAAAAAAAAAAAATCTTCTTCATTGAAATTGCAGTATATGTTTTAAACAAAAAACAATAACAGGCTGCCATATCATAACATTATTTCCATAATTTCAATACGAAAAACATTTATAGCTCAATGAATTTTTACAAGACTATATTTTTATATGATCCTAAAATACCTAATGTAATAAAACTGTAGGTACATATTACTACTACTTAGGTTTTTTTTTTTCTTATAGGGCAATATACCTGTCTCTTGCAGTGCCATACATCTAACACAACTTCCCCGTTACACTGGACTCACTGGCAATAGCTGCTATTTTTCGCCCCCTTCCAACGATGCAGCCATACATAAAATCATATAAATGATGTCAGGAAGACATATCGAAACTTTCAAGATCATCAATTAAATCTTTTCCCCAGAACTTTCACTAGGTACAGCAACTGCCTGCATGCTTCAAATAATTTAAATCTTTTATCAGTGCTATCACGTGATGAACATGTGATGAAAGGAAATTTTGCATATACACCTCTTCATACTGTGTTCTGCAGTTATTCTAATTTTCTACATTTTACTTCCTCTCATTTTGCAATTGCTATGGATGATAGTGCTGTTCACCTTTAGAAATTGTCTACCAGTGTAATACAGTTATATCTAGTACATAACAAGCACAGAATAATTTAAAGTCTAATAATACTAAACAAAATTTCACAGGATTTTGCACTAAACCAACAAGACAATAACAACACACAATTTAAGAACTTCTAGCATATAAGATGGGCTAATGAACCTCTAGTCTACAAAAACATGTATTGAACCTCTGGTACATAACACTAGTTATTGATCTTGTCTGAAAGACTGGCTATTAAATGATTGATCAACACAGCGAACAGGGTGAATAAACAAAACACAGCTACAGGAAGTAAATTCAAGTCATATCTAAAGTGATTAGATTTATTTATTTAATCAATACAGTAACAATTTTACAGATTATTTCTTATTTCTAACATATAGTACTGAATTCCAAAGTTGTACTTATTTAAAATGTGTATAATAGTTCTTCTTTAACATCAAATTTCCTACCCAAGAGATTCCACATTTAGTAGATCGCAGCATCACTTTTCTACAACTGAGCACAACATGTTATTTTTCCCAGGATGATAAATAGAAAGAGGTAGACTAATTTCTTGGACCTCATAAAGCTTGGAACTTATATCAGTAGATTTCTTCTCTTTAGAGACTTCTTAAAATATTAGTTTACAATGAAAAAATTCAAAATCTTACATATTTGAACAAAAGGATTACTGCAGTGATTAATAACAGATGTTTCTATCTGAATGTGAACTAACGTAATTTGATGTTTACTGTACAGACACTGTTGCCTATGCAATGACTTCCCATTTTTCTACTTCAAATATTAACTAAAAAAAAAAAAAAAGTGTAAAAGCATACCTATAAACTAACCATAAATCTCATTTCTATTTTTGATGCCTTAATATTTAAAAATCTTAAAAACAAAGAATTAAATTTAAATACACCTTTAGCATTTCATAATGATTTCTTGTGAAATATATATTTCATGCCAGTTATTCAATATATGTACACAATGGATTAAATTTTAGGAAAATAATTTCAAATAACTTGAATACAGTCAAAAGTCTTTAATCCGGACTTCCATAATCCGGACCTCAAAGCTACACACTTTCCGCGCATGCATAAACGCAACGGACGGTATAAGCTAAGCTAAAATTATCTATTTCAGTTAATGTCGTAGATTGCGTTGCTCATTAATCTTCTAATTGGATCCAGCTTATTATTTTTTGCAGACTGTTAGAGCAATTTTATAAAAAGTAAGCTTGAACTTTTGATTAAGTCAAAAAGAGTTTCCGATTCTGGAGCTGCCAAAGGATCTACAAAGTGAAAGCATGTTTCGATGTCCATCAAACAAAAAGTGGAATTGCTGCAAAAAATAGATAAAGGCATATCCTTTGTTTCTCTAACCATTCCGAAATCTGTTTATCAATTTCCCGCTCCTCTGTGGGGGGAGAGGGGGAAACGTCACGGCGCGCAATGAACTGGATCAGCACTATGCTTATCTTCAGGGCAGATGTTTTTATTTTATTTGGCTTATAATTCCTTACTAAATGTAGTATTTCATCTCGATGTACTCCGTCTTTGATATGATTTAAATCAAATTCCTCATGATTACAAATATCACGAATACACATCAAATAGTTTTCTGGTTGCAATTTTCTAATTTCAACTATGCATAATGTATGCTTTACGCATGCACGCGTTGAAAGAAATGTTTAATAAGGTAAACAAATAAATATTAAGCTTTCTTTTGTAAATTTTGATACCCTTTAGATCATAATTGCTCTTTATTTCATAAATTATGTTTTCATATTTTTAATTTTATAATTTCTGCATACCATCTTACCAGATTTAAACTGATGATCCGGAAAAAACGATAATCCGGAATCGCTGAAGCCCCGACAAGTCCGGATTAAAGAGTTTTGACTGTATTACATATTTTTCTAGCAGGTTCATAAATAAAATTTCAAATATGGATGTCCAATACATGAAAATAAAACTGCTCTACATACTGAGCCAACTTCCATAACTTCTTTTTCTGTTAATTTTGTACCCACACTGGTCTTTATCACAGAGTCCCTTTTACTTATTGTTCTGTCTGGAGTATCAAACTCGCTTTTGGTTCGCCTACGAGGTCCTTCTCCAGCTTCTGGTAAAGACAGAGACATGGTTCTCTTAGGTGAACTAACAGTACTGCTATCAGATTCACTGCCATCACTCATTTTAGAAAGCTGTCTGTTGAAAATATAAAACAGGTTAAAAAAATTTATTCACAGCCAGCTTTATAATAAACAAACTATATTTTATTCACAAAAGTAAAGTATATGAGATGTATTAAACTAAGCAATATGTTATAAATTTACATCAATGAATGATTCAACAACAAAAATTTATTGATGCACATGAAAAGTTTATTAAATTTCACAGAATGAATGAACTCACTCATAAATAAGAATTATTAATAATTATATGTCTCATAAACCCTGATCAATATTCTCTTGGTATTATTAAATATCCTCAAATATTATCTGTTTAAATGTCAAAACACTTCTAATTCAAAATGAATGAATTCCTATCTAGTTTCCCACAAGGAGAAACATTTATAGAATTTTAGAAAGCAATGAGAAAAAAAGCAGAAAATTTGAATTAAAGGATAAACTCTAAAAGTATGAATTTTAATGCTCATCTTTCAAAGAAAAATTTCAGCAAAAAGATTTAACAACATGGGGGGGAACCCCACATTTTTATCTTTTAACAATTTCTTTGACTTAATGAATTATTTAAATTTACCATGCTCTCCCAGGTTCTGTGACAAAAGTGAATTTTTGATATCTACATATAATTAATTGGAAGCATGAGGTCAATCAGACATTTTTTTTAAATAATTTGTCTATCACCAAAATGTAACTCTAAAAATAAATTTAACATTCCTTACATGGTTTTACTTGCAGAATGAATAAATGAAGGACTATAATTTCACAGATATCACAACTTTAAAACACAGAAATGCTATCATCAAAATATAGGCTGATCAACACATATATGATTATTTTTTAAATTGATTTTATTTTATTTGACTACAGATTTGATCTGATTGATTTGATTTTATTTTATCTGACTTACATAAGACTAAAGCAGAGACCTTCCTACTTAATAACTGTTTACCAAATTTCTGATACAGACTGCTAACCAAGAATTTATTTTACTGATTTAATTTGCTTATAAGTTAGAATCAGTAAGTTTCAAATTCCTGCTAACTGCCATGTACTATATAGTTTGGACTTCAATTTATCAAAATGGTCCAAATCTAAGGTAAAACATCAGAATTACAGGCTACATAAAACAATCCCCCCAGTCTAATACTCTTTAACTTTTCAATGAACTATCTTGTATTAGCAGGTAAAAGTTCAGGTTGTTTAACATGTTTACCACACCAAAAATCCAAAAAGTTATTTTTCATAAAAAATATAATAACATAAAAAAGCAGCACAATGGACTACTCATAGTGGTTCTTAACATGTAAAAGCTAAAAAAAGCAAATCTATCATAATCAGTGGCTATAACCAGTACATGAATATTTTGAATTCCATTGTTTGGTGGTTCTTATAATACTTATAGAGTGAGACTTGTGCTTACTGAATACTGTGCTTACTCATTTTACACGCATATATAATGATTATGTAATTAATCAGGTGTCAAATCATGGGACACTCACTTTCCAAAAACTTTAGCTTTGAATTATTTTTTAAAACAAATTGAATGATTGATTTTAGAATATCCAAATGGGAGGAAATAAACACTTAGGTCTCAAAGTTTTGATTCATCTAGTAAAAATTTAATTTTATCAATTCATTCTATCCTTATAACAGGATCTGCAACAGTTACAAACTGAGGGCAGGGACTTTTCATTGTTACTAATTGAACAATTGAAATTTCCATTGTTAGATTTGTTTCATACACTGAAATGTAACTTTACTATGCATTTGTAAAAATTGGACCATTGAAAGAATACAATGCACTAAATTAGCCAAGTCTGACTGGTTAGCCCAGCATGAATTAGATTTTATTGTTTATATAATATTATGAAATTGAATTATAACAGTTTTCCTTGGAGTGAGGTGCACTTTATTCAACATGCATTTTTCATGACTTAGATGTTCTTTTCTTAACCCAGTTTTGCAAACATCTTCTAGATACTAAGCAAGATTAGAAACTGCAAGTGCAACTAAAAAAAGTGTGGGAGAAATTTCTTGTGTCCAAGGAAAGAGATAACTTCAAAAAGGAAGAAAGAATGTTTTGAAATTCACAGTTGTATACAAAGAGGTTAAATATGAAATTAATGTTGCTAAATAATTTCATGAATGAAGAAACATGAAAATTAGATTAAAAATATAACACGAAAATTAAACTAGAAACATTTAATTTTCAGATCTCTATATTTTGAATGTATTTTAAAATTTGGTAAAATTCAAATTCAGATTTTTTTAAAAAACTAGATTTAGAGTAATAAGAATCTAAACATTTTGAAGGAAATTTTATATAAATAATCTTACATACATATCTTCTTTCTGAAGCAAAGAAGAGTATTAATTTTAAAGCTCTGTTAATCTGGCTAACACTGATCTGTTATTATAAACCATACTAGGACAACTTTAAAATTTTACATTCAGGAATGCAATTTTTTTTTTTTTTTATCTGCAGAGAAGAAATTAAACTTTGCACTGCTAGTTATGATGGTTTCTTTGTATTTAGCCATTCTTTCAAGTTCAGTTAATACTTTCACTGCTGGTTATGTGAGGTTGTGCTGATAGATAATGTTGTGTCATAGAAATAGATTGTACTCAAATACCAACTTACTTATTATAAGAAATATGATTTAAAACAGGTAATAAAAGATTATGTGTACCATATTGATTACTAAATCTTTAAGCACAGAATTTTATGACTAAATACCTCCGCATGATCGATACTAGAGATAAAATTATTTCTGTAATGCCAAATTACACATTTAAAAATAAATCAAAATTAAAAAAAAAATAAATAAATAAATAAATAAATAAAAATATGCATTATTTTTGTATGAAACTATATCACAAAGAAATATATATATTACAAATGAATTTATTATAAGCTATTTACAATGATATTATTGCAAACTATATATTTCAGAATCTTATTCGTATATGATCTCTGCATGAAATGAAACTTTGTTTTCCATTCCAAACCACATACATTTACAACTAGTTTTTAACCTTCACTCTATGCCAATGCCAGCACACATATTAAAAACATAATGGCAATTGAACTTGAAAATAAACAATGAGACGCTGTTCTTCCCACATCAGCTCATGGCCGGCACCTGAGACATCACCCCACACTACACGCCAGAAGCAACAGCAATCTAATTAGCCAGCAAGCAGAGAATACTCTCTAGACTAGATTAACTAGATTGCTATCATTAAGAGTAAAAGCAACATGTCTGAAATGAAATCCCTGTTCAGAATGACTTAGTAGTTAGTCATCTACTTCTGTACTTTACATGAATGCATATATATATATATATATATATAAAATATGCACATATAATCTTTCCAGAACAGCTAAAATTTGTTATATCAAAGAACAAGCAGGATCAGTAAAAGAGCTTAAAAATTAAAATGAGGTGTTAAATATCTCATAATATATCATCAGGGGGTTGGTGCCATAAATGTAACAACACAGTCATGTTGCTGAACTACATAATAATTACAATTAAAAGAAATTTATATTATCCCTACTAAATTTATTATAGTTTAGCTTCTAAACTGATTTTAGCTTACTTCATTTATACATTATTTTGCCTATTTGTATAATATATTTCTAAAAATTTTGTACAATTTAGATGCTTAATAGATGAGTGAAAAAACATCAGTGTAAGTTTTCGTCAAATTTTAAAATTAAGATCTATATGTTTCAATTCCATCTATTTGATGCCATCATTACCTTACTACCTGATAAATGTAATGCTGTTTTTGATTACTTTATGGAACAGGAAAATTTTGAACTAATCATCACTAGTTAATATAAGTGAAAATTTATTCTACTAATATGCACTAACTGCCTAACATAGATGAAGAACTCTTCTAGGCTTGGCATGGAACATAATACTTAGCAACAAGTCAATCTCTTAGATCATGGGTTCTCAAACAGGGAGTAATTTCATTGTTGCAAGGGAGGAGTGCAGTCAACATTTTAGTTAACTGCTAAGTATTTAGTTCTAATTTATGAATATAAAAAACTATGTTTATTCAAATTCTAACATTTATTAATATTTTCTATATTTTTTCTGGTTTAATCTATAAAACACATTAAAAGATGATCTAAATTAAAATTAATATGTATGCATTCTTTGAGTTTTGGAAAAGATGATGTGACCATATAGCAGTGATGAAAGGGTTAAATGGGGCAAAACAGGTTGAGAACCACTGTCTTAGACAGTCTTAGATCACATAACATTAAACTTAACGGGACACATAATTTAACATTAATTCAGAACATTAATGGCAAATTTGAGAGAAATTCTTATGTATATAATTATGAAATATACATTATTATTTTTATTTTATAATACATAATACAAGCACAATGTTCCTAAATTTAAAAATTACTCAGCATACCTAACTATATTTGTTGGAGCTCCAACAGTAGCAGCTATTTCTTGTATCAGATCTAATTCATCAGGTAAAATTTCACCAGTTCCTTCCTTTGCACTTTCTTGAAGATACTGAATAAGAAAATCTGCAAATGCTCCTTTTTTTGCTAGTAGTTCAGCATAAGACCCCACTTCAGTCACTTTACCATTCTGCAGGACTACTATGGTATTAACTTCTGGGAGAACTGTGATTCGATGAGTTACGAGAATTCTTGTCTGCAAAAATACAAATTTGATTCTTTTGGAAAATAAAACACACACATATATATATATTTATTTAAAATATTCAGAATTATATTCTTGCTTGTAAAATAGAAGAATTTAAAGAGACTTTAAGTATAGCTAATACATAAATGCAGATGCTAAACCTAATATTTTAGGAAACAGATCTGCAAAGGGCATATATATATGTACATATATATATATATATATATAATCAATTAATCAATATTGTTTAGGAAATAAATTATATACATATATATATAAACTAAATATACTTTTAATTTTAGTAGATCTGATCAAGCATCTCCAGCAAGGAAACTGCATTCCTTCACAGAATACAGCTGATGCTTGGATGCAAATTATATGCTGACTGTCCCTTTGACATTATTATCATTTTGAAACCATCAGCAATCAAGAGAAGGTTCCAAGTGTTTGAGCAAGTGAAAATACCTTTTGTGAGGTTTGGATTATGGGGAGGGAAACTGCCTATTTCCTAGCTAAAAATAGCAGTAAGTTTTGCGTCATAATGGTTGCGTGTGGGTGGGAACTGTCATAAAACAGAACAACATTCTTGGTAACCCAAGTCTTTTTTTTTTTGGGGGGGGGGCTAGACGGTGGGCTAAATAATATTATGCAGTTTCTTAAAGATTATGCATTATTATTTGATTATGGAACTTTAACCAAAAAACTAAATTTCTTTTTTGACTCTAAAAATAGTGCCCATAATTTTCCGAGTAGAAAATATCTACTTTACTTCAATCTTTCCTAACAATGATGTATGCCTCTACATTTTGGATGGATTCAGACGTTGCCTTCATCAACCAAGTTTTAGCCTCAAAGACAATACTGCTTTGGAAATCAATGCCTTCCTTGTGATTAATTCCTTAAATTCAATCTACTCTGAGCAACTCTGATAATTACCATGCACTCAATTCGTAATAAATCAGCTTTTATGAAAATTTTGGAAAATTCAGAGAGCGTGGCATCTGATTGAATCATTTGTTTTGTTAAATCTTCCTTTCAACTGAGTGCATCAAATCACCAATCACTAAAGATAGTTATTTGCTCCATTCATAATGATGCACATTTTATATCTTAGATTAAAAAGTTTTGCTCATCTTTATGCTATTTGAATTATTTAGAATGATGAAGTTTTGGATTTTATGGCTTCTCAATACGCTGATTAGTTTGCACATAAAAAAAAAAAGCAAGTGTTTCCATTTGAAAATTTCGAAATGTTTTTCACTGTAACCAAAACAATTCTTTGTTTTGAATCATCAAGATCTCGAATGCATATCTTCAAATAACAATATCTGCAAGGGAGTTATTCCTCATCTATTTTGTCATTGTCAAGTATGTAATGAACTTAAACAATTTGTGAAACTATACCTTTGGAGTTAGTAACAAATGAAAAAAATTAGATCTGGGCATTTAATTAATGCTGAAAAATCATACACTAAAATAAATATTGGAAAAATTAAAATAGTCTGAGTATTTAACACTAATGGATGATGAGTTGCATTCTCTCCATGATCTTAATTTAACAGATACAACTTATGATTCTTTTTTTTTTTTTTTTTTTTTTCCAGATGTCATTCTGAATAAACTTTAATAATCTGCCAATGAATTTCAATCACTTTAGCATTTTTTTCACTCAAGAAATGGATAACAGATTAAGTTTTATATGTGCAGGTAATTTAATTATCTTAAACATTACAAATACACACCAAGAAATGCAATATTGCAAAAAAGTCTTAATATGGCACCAATACCTCACAAATGAAATAACAAATCCATCACACATCAGCATCAAAAAGACAAAACAACAATTCTTAAAACTGGAACTATAATCTCTCATAATTTACTCAAATAATGAAAAACACTAAAAAATAGTAATGGTCAGAAAACAGATGGCAGACCAAGAATAATTATCATGTCCTAGGAAGGATATGCATGTATTGTACTAGGTGATTTATGCAGAACAGAAAACAAAGTTCTTGGGCAGATCAGAAATGAATGTTCAAATATTAGAATTTCTAGGAATGTACCCTTACATAATGTGCACACATAATACATCATATAATCTACTAGAAGTGATTTCTATCCTCCAGCAAGCTTATGTTGTTATGGTGTTGATTTTTTTAACTCAGCATAGCACATCATAAAATTATTTCTCAACATATTATGTCATATTATCATTTCATATCAATATGTAATATCATATTATGTCAGCAATATTTTTCTCATCCTTGATTTATTATAACAGTTCCTTACCTAAGACAGCCTGGTACTTTTAAAACTTTTTTTTTATCACTGCCTCCTTATTTAATCTTGTTTTGACACTTATATCCTCTTTTATGCATATGATAAAATTTTGGAATCTGATATAGGTAATGATGATGAAAGCTGGATGGATTTATCCAGAAAAGTGTTCATATGACATTTTTACAAATAATTTTCATTTAAGCATAATTATTATTGAAATAAAATATAACGAGGCAATCCAAGCACTGTGACATGTATGCTTACTGTCCAGCAATTTTTAGCATTCATTTAATGTTTCATAGAACCACAGTTGTCAACAAATGAAACAGAGATAGCAAATTATATATTATCTTGTTAAGTATAAACAAGATTATGCTATTTATACTATATTAAGAATGGTGAAGTTATATTATGAACGGTATGTTTTATAATAGTGAAACATATTTTCTTACCAGTACTTGTTCAGAAGTTTTGGTTTGAATATTATTGGATAAAAAATTCCAATTTTTTAAAGGGTATTTACACACAATGATTCAAATAAATATATAAATAAATAAATGTTTTGGATTAAAAGTTTTTGGCAGCAGCTTATTACTTGAAACGAGAAATATTATCTGCTGCTTTTTAACTTATTTGTCTTTCAAAATGTCACAAGTAAACAAGCTGTGGATTGGAGGATATGATTTTACACTTTCCGAAGAGAAATATTTCTACTCTGTAGTTAAAAAATGTTTTAATGAATGCTTTTTCAGAGCGAATTAAGCAACATTATTAATCAGAAAGGGAAAAAAATTCATCATTCATTACTTCTACATGAAAAGAAGATTCCAAACAAATATTTAGAAAAGGTATATACTATTTTTAATGTTTCTAGAGTTAATTCATTTATAACAAAAGAAAACTTCAGATGCAGAAATGACTTGCAAAGTCTTTAAATACATCTGTAACAACAGAAAATGAAATAATAAACCAAGAGTTACAATTCATAAAAGCTAAAAAACATTATTCAGCAGCTTTCTGGAGGCATGCTGCTCAATGCAGAATAATTTGCAGAATTCTGTGTGAAAACTATTTAGCAAGAAATAAATGGCAATACATTGTGACCTTTGATGAACTATGGATTTACTTAAATGACTGCAACAAAAACAAAAGGTCTATTTATTATTGAAAATGAAGAGAAAAGATCCTTAAATGTACTTTCATCAATGCAAAGAGAAGTTTTATTAAAAAATTTAGGGTAAAGGGGTATGGGGTTCGGTAACTGTTGCAGGATTCTATTACAATAGGAAATTAAGAAGAGTGAAAAAAATTTTAAAATCAACTCAACATACTATCAAAGCTTTATGTTTGATATTTACATAAGAAATTCCATTTCTTTATCCTAATGACTTTCAAAGAGAGAAACTTCATCAAGACAAAGCATTAAGTCCTACTTCAAAAAGTACACTAAATTCCTTGTAAAAATGAAAAATAATACAGGTACTTTTTCAATGTACTCCTGTAAAGTCTCCTGACATTTCACCTATGTTCTACTGTGGCTTTACTCTCTTGAAAAGAGCTCTTTCTAAGCGAAACCTATGATTGATGGATTCTGGAAAGTAGTAGAAGAAGAATGGAAATCAATAAACCTGGAAATTTTCCGAAAAGCCCTTCGATCGTGGAAATCCCGATGCAGTCTAGAAAAAAGGCTATTGGACTAAACACTTAAAAAATACTCTTTACATTTTAAACTTTGAAAACATGTAAACATCTTTTATACTTTTGCCTTACATTAATACTATGTCTACAATATTATTATAATAGAATTAATTTTGGAAATATGCATTTCTGGAAAATTTATCATAGCATTTTTCTATTTTTAGGACAGAAACGGGATGCAATCCAACTAAAGATGATGCTTTATTTGGCTGTTACAATATAAGGTTCAAATTTTAAGCACTGTGATTATTCACATCTCCATGAAAAGATTATTGTTGTTGGCTTTATAATAAATATTGATTATTGTTGTTGGCTTTATAATAATCAATATAATATTGACTTACTATTGATTACTGTAAATTAACTTTGTAAATTGTTGAAAAACATTCACTCAGCCATCTTTACATTTCATGGGTACTGTTCCATTCATATGTAATTTTTCAACAAACAAGAAATGAGAGAGGAAAAAAAAATCTATATGGCAGATATTTACATTTTTATGCTCGGGGGATGCTATTCAGTGAAATAAAAACTAAATATAAAGAGTGTAAATTTGCACTTACTCAAACATGTTTGTTACGTTTATTTTTGAACTGGCCATTAAGATGAATATATTTAACCTTCTCCAGCAGGCACGTATGTGCAAAATTTATGACAAATTCAGGTTTTAATGCACATTTTTCGCATATCGAAGCTGGGACGTCTTAATGTCATTTCTATTCCTCCTTTCTACCCTTCCCCCCCATCATGGACTGTGACAATAGTAAGTCATTTGACTTTTTTTTTTTTTTTTTTAACTGGGCATTTGTGCTACATGACAACTTTCTTGTAACAGTTACGACACGCGCGTGTTCGTGGGTGAAAATTCGAAAAATATTTTTTTTCTCAAATATTTTGTAATTTTGTGTTATTAATTGCCATGTATTATTTCAATTTGAATACATTTGGCTTTGTAAACTTTATATCAGTCTTCATGGCAAAAAAATATGTGCAACCAGCTGATTTCGCTCGCATTCTTCAAGAATTATCTGAAGAAAAGGAAGACAAAGAAACCTTTGGATGGGAGAACACTAGCGATTTCCATTCCTTATTTTCTTTTATATCTATTTTTTTAGAAATAAATAAAAAATATTAAAGTTAGTTTAAAGTGCATTTTTGTAACCAGTAAGAAGTAAATTTCCTTGCAGAAGTAAGTAATGCTAAACTTACTTTTTTTCCTACCAAGGTGTTTTCCTTTTTTATTTGTCTATATTTGCCTTTGATGAATATTAAAATTAGCTTTGATTTTAAAAACTATTAAATAATAAATTTGAAATGTTCTATAATGAAATACATCATTGCATTTCCATCTCACTAACATAAGAACTTAAAAATATTTACTTATATTTGAATGTGATATCATTTGTATTTTGCAATAATAAGATTAATATTTTATTTCTTAAAAATTTATTATCAATATTCACTCATTTCTGTCAATTTTCGTGCCAAAAACGGTAAAATAACGGATGTCATAAAAAATATGGTGTGTGTGTGCTCATGTAAAATTGCCAAGCGCGCATGCTGGAAGGTTAAAAAGTGTCAAAAACATGGTAATTATAGTGTATGCTAAAATGGAGAGGATAGTGTGGATAATCAGAATGGACTGAATTTTCTTTTACCCATATAGTAACTTACATTTGTTTTCTCACATCTTAGTTTTTCAAATTTATTTGACTTTATTCTTTTACACTTACTGCCAATCAATTTTTTAAAATCTGCTCGTTTTGAAAACACTATTCAAAATGCTTCTAATAAAAAAATAATTTATTAAAAAAATTCCAAAAATGAAATCGCATAAGTATCCGAGACTTTGGACAAACAGTTTCTATTTAATAAAACCATGAAAATAATGGGACATTCAATATTTCAGTGCATATCATTTAGCTTAAATTACAGTTTTCATGTACTTTGACATGGATTTGTCTAATGTTTTTATGTCACAGTCACAATGTTCCATTTTTGTTCCATTCTTCCAAAAGAATTGCTTTTAACAAACGTTTTAAAGAAGTATCATGTTCCTTACTATTTTCTCTAACTCTCTTCACATGCTTGATAGGATTTAAGCACGAAGAATATATAAGAGTTTTGATAACTTTAGAACAGCTGTATAATAATCAGAAGTGAACATCTAGCGCAGCATGTTTAGAATCTTTATCCTGACAGAACTTGAATGTATTTTGCATTCCAAATTTCCTTGCAAATGTCTTCAGGTTTTATTTATGAATATTTATATATTTAGACAGATACATATTATTAAAAAAAAAAAATTTTTTTTTCTATTCCCCAAAACAGTGGAACATCTTCAAACCTTTATGCCTCCAGCTCGTGCTTAACAGTAGGCAATAGTTTTTAAGATTCAATTCTTATTCGGCTTTCGTCCCCCAACAATTTGTCCATCGGACACAAATATATTAAATTTTGACTCATCTGCAAATATAACATTGTATCAATATGACAAATTTTTGATTATTATGAATTCTGTCAATGTCAGGCATAATTTTTTTTTTTTTTTTTTTTTTTTTTTCCCCTCTTGATGCTGAAGAATCTCCTTCTTGCTGACAGCCCACTGTATCCGTATGTCCTAATGACTTTTTCAACAGTTTTAAAGTTAACCTTTATTGCAAACCATTCTTCTAAATTCCCTGCAAGTTTTATAGCACCAATTTTTGGATTTTGCTTAGTTTTGCATAGGATAAATTCCCAATTCCTTCATATTAGCTTGTTCATTATAAATCATTTCTTACAAACCCTCTTTTGCTACTTAACATAAAATCTCAAACTCTGGAGATCGAGGGAAAAAACTGCAAAATTTAGATGCATTTTAATCTACTATATGCAGCTAATACACATCTGTCTGGTACATCAGACAAGATACACATCAACAAATTGCAGAGCTTACTTGAATTTTAAAGCTAATAAAGTTTACTGTCCAGACTCACATCATACAATTTAATTAGCACAAATGACAAATAAAAATTTAATATCATAGCTAAATTTAATTACATATAAAATACATCTTAGAAACATTGCTCTGCAATATTATGAAAATGGTGATTTATGTTACTTGGGGTGCACAACACAAAACTTTGAGTTTAGATATATACAAAATTTTAAAATAATTTTAGAAATTTAAAAAAATCAGGTACCTCACCTTATTCTTTAGAAGTCCTTGAGGTCCAATGACTTGCTCAAAAATGTGTTTCCCAACATGCACATCAACAGCACTCAATGGGTCATCGAAGTAGTATATGTCTGCATCATTGTAGACAGCTCTAGCAAGACTAACTCTCTGTTTCTGGCCACCACTAAGATTAATACCCTGCCAAAAAAGACATAAAAAAGACATAAAATAAAATAACATTTGACTGCAAAACAGATTGCTCCAGACATTAATCAACTAACTATCTTTTGGGCAACAGTGTAACATGCTGGTGTTTGATATAGGCCTGATAGTGTGTGTATCCCACCCCATTCTCAGCCTAGACTTTGTAGGGGGAAGTTTTTTAAGGTCTGGATATTAATATTGGATCATTTCAGATATGCCTTTTTTGAATGGTAGATATAAAATGGCCCTAGCCTTTAAAAACAATGTAAAATGAAGCATTAACAACTGAAGTAGTTTTATAGGTTTTAAAATGCACTCGAATGACACTTTAAGCTGAAGACAATAAATTAATTTATGCAAGAATATTTCGTTGAAAACAGTGCATTATCAGACAAGTTTCTTTTAAATAATTCTGCATGACATATACTCGTAATTAAGATAACAGCATTAAACTGCCTAAAAAGAAATATTACTATAAAAGAAGAAATTAATTCAATTTGAAGAATACAAACCTTTTCACCTATTTCTGTCTGATCACCACCAGGTAAAATTTCAAGATCTTGTGTCAAAGCACAGGCATCCAAAACAGTTTTATATCTCTTTGAATCGTAAGATTTTGTAAATAAGACATTTTTTTTTAACGTTGCATTCTGTATCCAGGCTTGTTGAGGAACATATGCTACAGATCCCTAAAAACAAAGAAGTTATAAAATATCTTAGTTTATTAAGCACTGCATGCCTTTACAAATCATTTATGTAAAATTATATAAAACTTTACCTTGGCCTACCTAAGTTAAATTTCACAATAGCTAAAACTGCCTTGAATAATGTGAATTCTTATAAATCAAAACTTGACAGACAATAGTAAACTTGTATATACTCGTAGTTAATACTTTTTCACAACTCCCTAAGCAAAGTACATAATCTACCATTATGAATACATGCAATATAAACAAGGATAAAGAATGAATACAATTGACTGAGAATTTTATGACATCGCAGAAGAGAATAAAATAAACTGCATCTGCATTTTCCTTATCAAATTCAGTTAATCACTGATCCATAAAAAATTAAATTTCTTAAATTAACCCCCCCCCAAAAAAAAAATCCAGATACCTATTAAATTAAAAATCTTTTTTAAATAATCTATGACAGTTTTAATGCATTTTTCAAAGCAAAACAGGGTACTTATGCACTATTGGATTAACCCTGATGCAATGTGGTAATGTTTTACAGATGAAACAGTAAAAGTTACTTACCGAGTGTAAGTTAGTGGTTTTTTGCATCTCTTTTAAGAAAGATTCCCAAACAATCACTATTTACCATAAGACAGTAAACTAAAGTATGTTTTCTTTTCGTATATTGATATGAATAGAAAACATACTTTAGCAATTGAAAATACAAATTTGAATTATTAAATAAGGATTGCATGGTTACGTGGATTACTTAAAAAATAAATCACATTCTTCTTCAAATTTTTCTGTGATTCTTTTGCGCTATTCTTTTCCTAAAGTACACAATGATCTGTTTTCACTTAAAAAACCATCAGAGAATTGCAGAAGATTTGGCTTCATGCAAGTCTTGACAACAGCAGCTGTCTAGGAAACAGATTTCCTCATTGTTCCCTTTAGAAAATTTTCAGCAAAATTCTGCATTCTTGTGGAAATTTTGTACCAGTTTCTTCCATTGCTCGCAAATTCCACAAGCTCACATATTAAAACTAAGGCAAAAAATATCACAGTTTGTTACATAAACCACTGGAACTTGGAATACAACCAAAAAAAGTGCATGCGAAAATGGTGGTATTGCTTGACTGAAAAATTATTATGTGCATGGTTGCTGGAAGAAAGGTCATGCACAAAGTTACTAGAGTTTGGTACATTCTGAAACATTGGCAACTTCTACTAAGGTGGTTGCATTAATATCAATGTGTAACAATGATCAATTATAGATAAATAGCTACATTCCTAGAGGTCAATCTTAATATCAATTACATCAATATTTCTGCTTAAAAGAATCAAGCCATTTTTGCTTTTAACTGATACTAAGAAAAATAAGACCTAAGACCTTATTCCTAAGAAAACACTAAGAGCATGTCAAAATAGCATGTACCCTAAAAAAAGGGCAATTAGTATGTTATTCAAAATATTTGTATCCCAATGCACTACCTGCCATCTGTCAGCAAAACCAATATTAAAAACATTTGTTTCCAATGGCTTTAAGTAATGTTATGCATGGGCTCTTAAAAAATCATATTTGGTTGCTTCACTGCAGATATTATTAGTTTGCATTACTATATTAAACATAATTAACGAATTTTAAAATAAACAGGAAAAATTCATCTAAACTGGTCAAAAATAATTTTGTCATTTTAAATTACAAAAACATAAATGAGTATATAAGCAGTTTTATGTTTTCAGAGCAATAAAGTAACATTTTAAAAGTTTCTAATAACACAGGCCAATTGGTTAGTTAACTGTGGGAAAAATATGTGAAAGATATCTGCTTTAAAGGGAATAATGCCTCTGGGAAAGCCTTTCTAAAGGAAATAACTTGTACTCACATTACTCATGGAAAAAACAATTAACTAATTCAATTTTTTTTAAGACTTTATTTATTGAGAGTACAAAAATAAGTCTTCGCCGTTTGAAAAATAATGGCACCACCAGTGTTATGGTTAAATTTGTCTGATGTAAAATATCATATTGTAAGGTTAGACATCTGCTAACAACATAACCTTGAAATAGTAACGATTTTGTATAGACATTGTAACATTTCATATCCATAACCTTGAAATATTAACGATTTTGTATTGACATGATATAAAATATCTTACCAGCAATTTTGTATGATCATCATAATTTTTCATGAGAAAATGTAGAATTTTGATTCTAATGAGTGTCATTTCTGGGAAATTTTGATTTACTTCTTTAATTTGAAGAAATCTGCAGCTGAGGCACAATGATTGTTTGTAGAAGCATATGGTGAGGCTGCCTTAAGTGGGAGAAGTTATTCTGAGAGGTTTCAAAAGTTTAAGAACTGTGAATAGATGTAGAAGGATGAAACTGTACAAAGACGTAGAAGAGGAAGCATTATTGGATGAAGATTCAATGCCAAGCACAAGCAGAATTTGCACTTGCACTAGGAGTTGTGCAGCAATCAAATTCACATCGTTAAAAATCATTGGGAATGATTCAAAAGCAAGGAAACTGGGTTCCATAGCATATGAAGCTGAGAAATGTTGAACAGTTATATTTTACACGTGAAATGCCTCCTGGCATAAATAAAAGAGTCTTTTGCACCATACAGTCTATGGTGATAAAAAATGGATATACTACGGTATTCCAAAGTAGAAGAAATCATGGGGACCATTTGGTCATGCTTCAACATACACAGCCAAGCCGAATATTCATGGGGAAAAAAATATAAATTTGGTGTCATATATTATGCATTGCTCAAACTGAACAAAACCATCACTGGGACTCTCTACTGAACACAACTGATGAGACTGAGTTGAGCACTCAATTAAAAATGTGCCCACTACTACTCCAGACATGAAAAAATTATTCTCCTACAAATAACGCTCACCTACATGTTGCGACACCGGTCAATACCTATTCTGAAACACTGAAACAAGAAGTTCTCCTCCTTCCACTGTATTCACCAGACATCTATGTCATCAATTGAAACAAGTAATAATCAGAAGGAGAAGCTCCTTCTAATTATTACTTGTTTCAATTGATGACATATGGCTTGTCTGAGCAGCACTTCACATCATATGAAGATACCAAAAACTGAGTTGATTTGTGGATAGCCTCGAAAGATGAAGCACTCTTCCATATACTACTAGAAAGATGGGGAAAAGTAGGGGCTAACAATGGACAACACTTTGAATAAAACATACAGTAACGTACTGTTCTTTAACAATAAATGCCCAATTTTTGATAAAAAAATGGTAGTTATTTATACTCCTGATAGGTTAAAAGAAACTCATTAAATTCATGTATTAATTTTATTAATTTTTCCATTATTTTTAACAAAAAATTAATGCTGAAAATGTTTGTTAATCATATAATAGCATTCAAAACTTTACAGCAAACTAACCTACAAAGTTCAAAACTACATGTAGAAAAATTCATACCTTTACATTAACTTTTCCAGACCACTTCACCATATCACCAAGTAAAGCTGCTAATAAGGATGATTTTCCCGATCCAACTTGTCCAACAACTGCCACCAGTTCACCTTCTTCTGCTTGGAAATTTAAGTTGGAAAGAACAGGTGGATCTTCTTTTGTCCATGAAAATGTGCCATCTTTAATAACAACAGGAGCTTCTGAAAGCCAAAGTAAGATAATAAAATTAATAGTTTTGATGCACACAAATAAGGTCTTATAGCCAAAACAAACAAAAAAAAAAAAAAAAAAAAAAAAAACTTCTTTCTCTCTCTCTTTTTTACTCTAAAGGGTCCTATTAGTTTGGAAATGATATTTTACATCGAATCACTCAAAGCATTGAATCACTTTCCAAATTGCTGCCACCAAATATTATCATAATGTATTATATTTTAAGAAATTAAATAATGAAGAATCTGCATGAATGTTTCTTTCATTGTGAAAAAACAATGGTATCTAGTGCAATTAAATTTGAATAACGTAGTAACATTTTTAGCACAAATGCTCTCGAAACATATAAGAGTGTGTAAATGAAAAGAAAATGGCCCTTTGGGCGTAATATAAAATCTGAAAGCTTTCACTTTTTTTTTTCTTTTAAACTCTTTGGACTGCTAGTCGAAGAGTTAAAAAAAGGACAAAGCTCAAAGATTCACACCCTTAGAATTTAAAGGCCTCATTCAACTGAAACATTTAGCAATCACTAGTCATGATACGTCATCAGTTGCGACTGGCTTTGCTTTTTTGGTATTCGACTGAAATACAGCGATCACTCTGAGCTCGCAATTGATCATTTTAGTAACAATCACTGTGAACTCATCATTTCGTGGGGAAACTTATCAAATCAATATAGTGACTCTGTTGTTTGACATTCACAAAGACAAAATTCAAGAAACTAGAATAGATTCAAGGTACTTAACATTAAAGGGCAATCCTTTGAATCTACTTTCTAGGCAGCAATTTATATCAAAGTACAGGCTGTATAAGGCTTTCAGAAAGGCAAGCTGATGTATCATCTGTGTTGTATCCCAATGAAGCCCTTTTGTTCTAGTGAGCATGTGCAATAATAACCTATGTAATGTTATATTAAGTTACATATGTATGTATTTCTTAACTCATGATTGTAATCAATTGTAGATTTGGTGTAAACTATTTTACTGTTCAATTTACAGTAACTGAATGTATATTATACAGTTTGTTACACAGAACATAAGTTATCAGATCATTTCATATATAAATAGAAATAATAATTTTACTAATCTGTTGCAAAAAATTAATTTTAATCAAGAAATTCTAGAATTTGCTGAAATTAAATACTAAATTTTTGTATGCATACTTTAATTTTCTGAACATAATTTTTCCTTACTTCCATACTTTCAGAAAACTGAAATTAAACTTGCTGACATCAGAGAAAATTAACAGTTAATTATTTACTAGAATGTTCAATTCCTAACACCAGCAACTTCAAAACCAAGCCTCAAAATTATAAGAAAACATATATAAACAACTGACAACATTTTGTCTAACAAAATGCTACTAAAAATAAAACACTGATAAATAAATATTTTAAATACAAAGTGATAGTTTTTATTACTTTCCGATGGATCATGTTGAACGGCATCAAGATCAATTTCATCACTTTGCAGGAAAGCATTAATCCTTTTCAAAGAGACTACAAACTAAAATTGAGAGAAAAAGGCCTATGTAAAAAAAATCCTACAAAATTACAGGCAAATATGTATCAGGGGAAACATTTAATTACTTTTCATTATAACAAATAAAATTTTCAGCCATAAAATATGTTTAGTTATTAAGAGAAACAAAATGTTTTAACTTAATGTAAAGCCAAGTCACATATATGGCTGGCTTCATTTCAGGCTGAAGCCAGTAAGAATAATTTAATAAGAGAAACTGAATGATTACAAGCAATATTCAATTCATAGAAATAAGTTGGACCTTGCTCAAATTTCTACTTAGAATGTATATTAAACTAAATGACAATTAGTACATTTTTATAAAATCTTAACCAATTGAACTAAAAACTAACCAACCATTTTTTTACATTTAATAATGAAGAATTGATCGAGCACTTACCATGGCAGTAAATGTTATAATCATTGGCAGAAGGGCAGTAGGAACTCGAAGAATATTGAATAGAGACAGTGAAACAAAAGCTCTGTTGGCATCTAATACATTATTTGAATCAATAAGTACAAAAGTAGCAAAACTTGCCAAAGACACCTAGAGAAGTGAGGAAATGATCACATATTAAATTTGTAATTCTGCAGAAAAGCTAAAATAAAGTTTACATTATTGCATTTGAAAGAATTTTTTCAACTATCACTGTTTTCATTTTACAGCAAAAATACCCTATAAATAGGAATATATCAAAATTAGAAAGAGTTGTCAAGCCATTAGCACAAGATTTTTTAAACTTTCAAAATATAACAATACAATAACATGATCACTTTTGTTCGTAATTATTTTGGCAACATTAAATGACAAGGAGAAAAATGCACTTAAAAACAGCAATGGAATTTAACTAATTTAATATAAGTACGAGGCACATCCAGAAAGTAAGTTTCTCGATGTATTCCCCTTTAAAGTAAACGTAATTAGCCGTGTCAATTGTGCATGCGTAACAGATCTATGCCATATCAATCATATGCTAGCCAGACAGGTCCCGCCTCGTACCAGTAGCAATGGTCCGAAATGGAAGCTCTTATTCTTTCTCCCGCCACCTGCGAGGTTTGGTTGGTGATAAAGTTCTTGAATGCATAAAGAATTGTGCTAATTGAAATTCATCATGAGCTCTGTCGGGTCTATGGGCCAAACATAATGAGTAAGCAGATGGTGCGTCACTGGTGTATGCAGTTTTCAGAAGGTCGTGATGAAGTGTCCATGATGAAGTGCGCAGTGGGTGACCATCCCTTATCAATGATGATCTTGTTGAGCTTGTGCGGCAGCGTGTGAGGCAGAACTGTCGCTGAGCAGCTATTTTCCGCAGATATTGCGATCCTTGTTGCATGAGACTGTCACTATGCCCCTGCTGTTCAAAAAATTATGTGCCAGGTGGGTGCAGAAAAACCTGACACCCGAACACAAAATTGACTGCTAAGGAGCAGCACTGACATTTCTGCAACGGTATCACGATGACGGCGACAAGTTCCTCAACAGGATCATCACGGGCGATGAGACTTGGATTTCACACTTCACCCCGGAAACCATGCAGCAGTCAATGCATTGGCGGCATAGTGGATCTCCGTTCAGGATGAAATTCAAATAGACGCTGCCGGTACGGAAAGTGATGTGTACGGTGTTCTGGGACAGGAAGGGCATTCTGCTCATTGAGCTCCTTCCACGTGGTGAAACAGTAAAAGCTGACCGTTACTGTGAAATACTGTGGAAATTCTGACGTGCCATTCAAAACAAGATGTGTGGAATGCTTACTGCAGGTGTTGTGCTTCTCCATGACAATGCTTGTCCACATACAGCTCGACACACAGCAGCTGTTTTGATGGAATTTGGCTGGAAGTTGTTTGATCATGCACCCTACAGCCCTGATCTTGCTCCCAGCGATTTTCTCATTTTCTTGCACCTCAAGAAATTCCTGTCCTCCGGTGAGCGTTTTGGCAACGATGAAGAGTTGAAGACACCTGCCACACGCTGGTTCCATTCACAGGCGGCAGAGTTCTACGACAGAGGGATACAAAAGTTGATCCCACAATACGAAAAGTATAATTCTGGTGGTGGCTATGTTGAAATATAGCTGAAACATTGCTGTAACTTGTTGCCAATATTCATGAAAGTGCGAGTTCTTTTTTTCTTTTCTTTCTTTTTTTTTTTTTAAATAGGGAAACTTAATTTCTGGATGCCTTATGTATAACCAGACACACATAAATAAATACTTACACAGTATTTTAACTAGGAAAAGGCAAAAATTTGTTTATGAACTGTTCAAAATGTCTTTAAAACAAAAGTTCATAATATTTCTGCAAATTATTTGACTAATGCTGAACCCTGATCTTAACGTTTGAAGGGTATATCTCATTCAGTGCAAAATAAAAAAATCAGGTAGAAAAGAAACCATAACAGATGTTTTCATGTATTATTTTTCATGAATATGGAAAAGGAAAGGAAGAATTCTACAGACTTTTTTTTTAATGGAGAAAAGAGACCTGTGTGTAACAGACCTCAAAATCAATACAGCTATTCTAAATACAAACTAAGGTTGCTTTCTTTGCTTAATTTTTAAATGGTTGATTAAAATTGAAACCAAGCTATTTGGTGACTTGATCACTTTTTGGCAACATTTCTCTCTCACTTGCAAATTTAAAAATATCTATTTTGATTTTACTTCGCAACTTTACTTCAATTTAAAAGAAAAAAAAAATTATTATGCACTCTTTTAATCCACAGTAAGCAAAGTATTTTCCATGTTTTTGTATACAAACAGGCAGGTCATTGGCAATCCAGTAACAATATCTTAGTGATCACATTAGCTGTGATCACACTGCATATAGCTTATCACTGTAATAAAATAAGAAAATAAAAAAACAATACAGTCAAAAGTCATTAATTCAGACACAAATAATCCGGACCTCAAAGCTACAAATTTTCTGCGCATGATTCGCTTTGACGCATGCACGTAAGAGACCTTTACGGCTGCGAATATGTGTGTGCGCATGCACGTAATACGTTTATGCATGCGCGTTTAATGTATAACAGACGGTATAAGCTAAGCTGAAATTATCTAATTCAGTTAATGTTGCAGATTGCGTTGTTCCTTAATCTTCGAATTGGATCCGGCTTATTATTTTTTGCAGACCGTTAGAGCAATTTTATAAAAGTAAGCTCGAACTTTCGATTATGTCTAAACAGAATTTCCGATATATATTTACTAATATGTAAAGGATCTACAAAGCGAAAGTATGTTTCGAAGTCCATTAAACAAAAAAGTGGAATTCCTGCAAAAAATTGATAAAGGCATATCCTTTGATTCTCTAACCATTCTGAAATGTGTTTATCAATTTCGCGCTGCTCTGCAGGGGGGGGGGGACGTCGCAACACGCAATGAACTGGAAGTTGATCTGTCAGCACTATCCTCATCTTCAGGGCAGATGTTTTTATTTTATTTGGCTCATAATTCCTTACTAAATGTAGTATTTCATCTCAATGTACTCTGTCTTTGATATGATTTAAATCAAATTCCTCATCATTATAATTCGCTTCAGATAGTGAAGAAAGTGACACAGAGGTTATTGAAAATGAAAAAATTTCGATTTACAAATTAGTCGGTATTCTCGACACAGCAATTATAGGACTTGAACAGCAACTTTGTAACTGAACAAGAAATTACATAAGTTTATAGAATATATAAGTTTATAGAATATATATAAGTTTATAGAATTAGAGAGAAAGTATTATCACATAAAATGAAGCACCTTAAACGACTTACATTGAAAGAATTGTTTAATAAAGTAAACAAATAAATATTAAGCCTTTTTTTTTTGGTAAATTTTGATACCCTTTAGATCATAATTGTTCTTTATTTTATAAATTACGGTTTCATATTTTTAATTTTATAATTTCTGCATGCCATCTTACCAGATTTAAACTGATGATCTATAATCCGGAAAAATCGATAATCCGGAATTGCCGAAGTCCCGACGAGTCCAGATTAATGACTTTTGACTGTACATATTTCTAGTAAATAATATTTTAATAATTTGCAATGGAAGACTGTAATTAGCTTTTTTTTTGAAATTTGGGCTACATACAACAATTTCAATGAAACAAAATTATCGATGCTTTCTAAAAATTCAGTCATTTAACAAACATTTGTATCATTATTGTAACAGACATGCTAATCTGTCAAACTCAAAAATGTGCAGAATTTTTCAGCGACAAAAATAGCTTTTAAGTATTTTACAAATATTTGAGTATTTATTTAAATTTTTAAGTACAAACACATATAAAATGGACTTTTTAAAAAAAATATGAACTACAAATACTATCCAATCAACATCTGAAAGTGCAATCACTAAGTTTCAAATGAAATTAGTATGAAAATACTCATACATTAAAAAATATTTTTGTATTTTTTGATTATCTGTACCCCTTCCCAAAAAGCAGCCAACTGCTGGCGACTAATTTTTTGCTTAGCTAAGATGACAGACATTTTCAAAAATGATGGCACACTAAGAATTTCATAAAACAACAGCCAATTAACAAATTTTAAAATACAAGAATTTTTTTGGTGCTGTTTTCCCCATGTACACAGAATTTCTGTTTTAGCTTCAAAAAAACATCATAGAATTTCACAAATTTAGCTTTGTGCACAATGTTGTTTTGCAACACTGTTTACACTTTAAAAAAATTACAGAATTGCAGGAATTTAGCAACATGCACAAATTTCAAGCCAAAAAATTAAATTGTTTGAGAAGTACAAATTTATGGGATGTGAATTTTTATATTCTCTATTGTTGAACAAAACAAAATTTCTCAAGAAATGCAATGTTTTCTTTTTCATCATTTTATTTTTACACTGTTATTTAAATTAACACTCCACGCAGTAAAATTTTGTTAAACTAGACTTTGGGTACGATAGCTGTCTGGACTAAGTCCAAATTTTTATGAAATAATCTAAAAGCTGTGACAAAAGGTACAGTGTTCACAATGCAGACTACCTGTTGTTTGCAAAATATGATTTTAGTGTATACTTGTATACTTGGAAAGTTAAGTAACAAATTACAAAAATATGCAATTTATATTAAGAAATATTTACCTGAAGACATTTATCTTGGTCTATCATCTGCTGAACTAACTGGTTTGAAGAAATGACATCTTTTGTATACACTTAAGTCTTCTGTTTCATCATAAGTTACACAGATGTCTTATATATTTACAATATACCAATACATTCTCACTTTTTTACTTATTTAGATCATTTTTAAATATATCACTGTAAGTTGTGAGGTGTCTGTATATTTTTTCAGAATACATTTTCCAAAAAATCTATTTCACAGAGATTCATATACTGTTTAAAAGTAACATGCAAATGAAATATATAATACAGCCCCCAAAACAAAAATAAATAAATAAAAAATAAATAAACAAAAATAAAAAAATGCTTACAAGAAATGGAGCACATGCAAATGCAAAAGTCACTGCACCATTTAAATAGGCTTGAGCTTTCAAACTGGCAACCTCTTTATTTCTGAGTTTCATAATTTCTTTTATGAAAGAAGATTCCCAAGCATACAATTTTAAAACCTTAATTCCATTCATGATTTCATTCATCAGCTTTGTTCTCAGATCTTTATCCTTCATCAGACGAACCTAAAAACAAAAGAAATTTATTTGAATGAATTGTATTTCAACATTTTACACACTAAATAACATTTGAGGGAAAAGTAATTCAACAAACATCATCTCTACAAATCTTGAGTAAGAATCAGAAGTTAAAAGTGATTAAATTTAATCTCTAAATATACAGAGTCAGATGTAATAATTTAATGCATATATGCATATTTTTTAGCAAACTGTATTATTTGAATGAGTGTTAGGCCAGATATTTTTATTATGCATTGCACAATATGTTATGCTAATACGTTTTTAAATGTAAAGCATTACAACAGCTATGCATTATTAAATTACTGCTGTCAAAAACTAAATAATAAAAAGTAATTAGTTTAATTAAAGGACCACTAATTCTTTGTATTTTGCATGGCTTACCTAATATATCAATTATCAGGCATTAAAGTAAGCTCTGATTTCATAAAAGTTATGCTCATTACTTTAAGACTTGAATCTGGTACAAAGCATAATGATTCAACCAATTTATTTATCTTGTATGTATGTAGCTCACTAAGATAAAATACACTGTAATACCGTGTTATTTAATAAATAATTATTTATTGTTGAAGTGGCAACGCCATATTTGTATTATGTAACCGTTGCTCAGTAACGTGAGAAATTGTTTTAAAAATTAGATTCTGAAGTTTGACCAGCTAGTAGTAGTGTGAAAGTTTTGCCACTAAAAGAATTTTTTCAAATTATCTATCTCTGTGAACTAGAAATAAAATTTATGTTCTAATAAGAAGATTGCCTGTTTTGTCAATTACTGCAAAATACATTACAGTCTTATAAAACTTGAAGGCTTCCACCCAGATACTGTAAATTAGGAGTGCAATTATCAATTTCGATGGTGCTGGTCTCCTAATCCCAGGAAGTTGCTGAAATTTTTTAGAACAAGTTTGGTAGTACCAATTGAAGTTCCCAGTGCACCACATATGTACAACACGGGGCTTACAGAAGTAAGTTAACTAAAACATTAAAAGTTACATGCATAAATAAACATTAAAAGTTACATCCATAAATAAAGCGAACAAAAGCACAGCAGTCTGGACTTCACGAAAACAGGTAAGTTCATCGGCCAAGTCAATCCGAACATTTTCAAATCGTTCTGTAAACATAATCTAGGGCCATCAAATGTAGGGCATGAGAAAATCAAATGTTCCACATCCTGAGGAACTCTTTTTGAACATTTACATAAATTGCTTGATTGTAGATTAAAACGAAAGAGGTAACTTGCAAATTTACCGTGACCAGATAAAAACTGAGACACTTTAAAATTTAACGAGAGGGAAGACTCGGAATTCAGTCTATGGTAAATAGAAGGAAAGAACTTTTTGGTGACTTCAGCATTACAAGATGAAATGTATTCCTTATTCCACATAGCTAAAAGCTATTTATAATTAAAGGACTTCAATAACTCTTTGGAATGCTAATGTTGATATCAATGCGTAAATTTAAGGCATCTTTAGCTAAGAAATCAGCTCTTTCATTTCCGTAGAAACCATGATGAGCACGCACATAAGCAAAGCAGATATCAATACCTCTAATTCTAAGTGAACTAACGGTTACTAGGGTTTCGATAACTAATTTATCGCAACTGATAATACTGTTCAAAGGTTGAAGAGAAGAAAGAGAATCAGAACAAAATAAGTACTTGAGGATGTTGTCCCATTATCCTTGGATCCATTTGACGGCAAGCTAAATGCACAGAAGTTCTGCTTGAAAAACTGTGCATTCATTCCGTATACAGTGTCTAAAATCAACAAACCTCAGAATGGCCTTCAAAAAGAACAAATGCAAGGACCAACCTTGTTGTTCATCTTGCTGCCATCTGTAAAGAAAACCATATGGAAGACTCATTTCAGTTGTCTCTTTATAATCGCACAGAAATTTATGGGTTCTCTAAGTAGCGGGATGAGGAAGATCACTGAAGGAGACAATTCCATTAATACAGTCTTCCAAAGCATCAGTTGCCAATGACTTGAAAATATTATTCTTATATGCAATTTCAAAATCAATAGGCAGAACTCCTGCAAGAACAAAAGTAGCCTCATAGCTTAAGGTTCTATAACCACTAATGATACGAAAAAGAATTCTCCGTTGTATCTTTCTTAAATTTCTTTTGTTAACCTTCTTGGCAAGAACATGTCCCCAAGCACGACAGCCGTACGAAATGAAAGGTACAATACACTGCTTATACATGAGTTTCTTAACATCGTAGCTTACTCCAAAAGTATTTCTGGTGATTCAGTGAAAGCCATTAATAATTTTTTCCCATTTAGCAGAAAGGAATTCAATGTGCTCTTCCCATGTTAATTTTTGGTCAAGAATGACACCAAAATACTTAACATTTTCTACAAATTCCAATGAAGAATTATCGAGCATCAAAGGAGCAATATTTTGTTCATCAAACGTACTGAGAACAAGCATAGCTTTACTTTTTGAAGGATTGAAAGTCAGTTTATGAGAAATCGCCCAACTGGAGACAAAATCTAGAACTTCTTGTGCTCTCAAAAGAATGTTATTCAAAATCTTTCCTTGGAAAATTAATAGTAAGTCGTCTGCAAAAGCAATTTTTTAAACAACCGTCGAGATGACTCAAAAGATATTTATTATTATGTTCCAAAGGAGTAGGTCCGGATACAGAGCTTTGAGGACAGCCTTTTTCTAGAGAATAAACCTTAGTTTCGTTCCCAAGCTGAAGCTCAGCGGTCCTCTCGTTCAAGAAGCTTTTAAGAAGGTTATAGATATTATGTGGTATACCAGCATCTTTTAAAATTTTTAAGATAGATAGCCACCAAGCATTATCAAAAGCTCCTTTGAAATCCAGGAAAATAAGAAGTGTAGTATGCTTCATTTTCTTTGCACACTGCAAGATATTACAAAGGCGAATAATGGCAACTTCAGCGGATTTCCGAGGAGTAAATCCGAACTGAGAATCATTATAAAAGCATTTCTGTCTCAAATACCAATTTATTCTGTTAATGAAGAGAGTTTCAAGACATTTTCCCAAAGTAGGCAAAAGACTAATGCATGTAATATTATCAAGATAAGGGGTTCTTGTATCTAAAGTTTAGGAATCAAAACAACCCGAGCCCTCTTCCATTGTGCGGGAAAAACTGCTAATTGTAAACAATGGTTGAAAAGTCTGTGTAAAAATGTGCTATACAACGCATGAAAGTGCTATACAATTTAATTAGAAAGAGAGTCAAGCCCAGGTGATTTGTTCTTCTTCAGATTTTTAATAACACTGTTAACTTCTGAAGTAGAGAACGGACAGTCCATAAAAGAAATATAAGATCCATCAGACTCAGTACGCATAGTTCTATGAGAATTTCTATCATCACGCGCATTATCGCTTGAGAAATTCTTTGTCATTATAGCAACAATTGTAGCACTCAAACTCGAAGTAACACACTGCCATCCGGGAGTTTAATTCCCGAAATCTCAATCCTTTTCGCAAAATTAGTCTTAACCCCATACTTATACAGTCAAAAATCATTAATTCGGACACCCATAATCCGGACCTGAAAGCTACAAACTTTCTGCGCATGCGTCGCGTTGACGCATGCACGTAAGACCTTTACGGCTGCGAATATGCGTGTGCGCATGCGCAAAATACATTTACGAATGCGCGTTTAATGTATAACGGACGGTATAAGCTAAGCTAAAATTATCTAATTCAGTTAATGTTGCAGATTGCGTTGTTCCTTAATCTTCGACTTGGATCCGGCTTATTATTTTTTGTGGACTGTTAGAGCAATTTTATAAAAGTAAGCTTGAACTTTCGATTATGTCAAATAGAATTTCTGATATATATTTACTAATATGTAAAGGATCTACAAAGCGAAAGTATGTTTCGAAGTCCATTAAACAAAAAGTGAAATTCCTGCAAAAAATGGATAAAGGCATATCCTTTATTTACCTAACCATTCCGAAATCTGTTTATCAATTTCATGCCATGGTGCGCAATGAATTGGAAGTTGATCTGTCAGCACTATCCTTATCTTCAGGGCAGATGTTTTTATTTTATTTGGCTTATAATTCCTTACCAAAAGTAGTTTTTCATCTCGATGTACTTCGTTTTGATATGATTTAAATCAAATTCCTCGTCATTAGTTTAATAAAGTAAACAAATAAATATTAAGCTCTTTTTTTGTAAATTTTGATACCCTTTAGATCATAATTGCTCTTTATTTCATAAATTACGGTTTCATATTTTTAATTTTATAATTTCTGCATGCCATCTTACCAGATTTAAACTGATGATCTATAATCCGGAATCGCCGAAGTCCCGACGAGTCCGGATTAACGACTTTTGACTGTATATATATTTCCAGACATTGTGAACATTAATAGTTGAGAGAAAATTTCTCCACAACTCAAGCTTGGCATTAGCTAATTTAGCCTTGTAATTATGCCGCAATTTGAAATATTTAATTTTATAAATATTTTTAAGAAAACCATTTCTTTCTCTCTGGAATCTTCACCTAGCAGAATTTACATGCTTTCTATAACAATCAATTTCCTTAGACCACCAAGGGACTTCTTCTTACTTTTCTTCATCAGAATTGAAAGTAAAGCACAATTAAAAATAACGGTAGAAAGCCTGTTTACAACATTTTCTAATGCAATACAATCAGAGCAACCAACTGTTAAGAAGGATATTGATAAAGTTACACAATTCTCTCTTACAAAGTTCAGTAAATAAAAACCAGTTCACTCTTTTTTAATTAAAAGTACACAAATTAGAAGATATAATCCAATTGCAGTTTATTTCAAGGAAAAATGGATGTAAGAAGTCTGCCGTTTTAAAGCCAGATTTGAAGCGGATCATTCAAAGGTTATTTTCTGTGCTTCTATAACTTGCGTCCGAGAAAAAAACTGACAGAGCAAGATATTAATAATCTCTGAAGATAAGATTAAATTTTAGTTTTCTTAAAAAAGCTTTTACTGAATTTTAATACTTTGTTTCAGAATTAT